ATGTATTCCCCTCATGGCTGATTTCAAACTACCAATGTAATATTACTGAGCATGTTGGGAAGAGATGCACATAGTATGTTCTCTAGAGCCTGTGCAAGCTGACTCTAGCACACCTCAGTGTGGGTCCCAATGACAGAAGTCTCCCCTTATTTGAACAAGAGTGATGGATAAAGGGGCCTCATATTCTATGCCAGGCTGTATGTGGGCAGTTCTTTTTACTAGTAAAATCATTTCATGTAGGTGAAATGTACGAGTATGTGGATGATCAATTTGCTCCAATGCCCAGCTTTTATTTTTTTTAATGTTTTTTATAACACAGTAAATTGCACATGTATATCTTGATAAAGTTTTACGCACATACATATTCATATAACCACTGCCCAGATTAAGATGCAAGTCATTTCCAACATCCTATCTCTAGTACTTCTCAGTCAATACCTGCCCCTCAGAGGTAACTCCTCCCCTGGCTTCTACAATAGCACTGTAAACAGGTTTTTCTCATTCTTGGAGTTCATATAAATGGTATCATACACGCACAGTTTTTTGTGTCTGGCTTATATTCATCATTACATCTGTGTGATTTATCCATGTCGTGTGTAAGAGTAGTTCATTTCTTTTCATTTCTGAGTAGTATTCCTAGTGGAGACTTTTAATAACCTTAACTTAGTAAAAGTTTTTTTGTGCTTCTCATGCCTGTTTTTGTCATTCACCTATGAAACTGTGGATCCTGAAGGTTGGCCCTTCTGGCCACATACTCAGTCCCATAATGCTCTGTTTATCCTTGGCCATGACTCATCCTCCACCACTTCTTCATCTCCCAAAACTTCTGCCATCCCCTTCAGAATCCCTTCTCCATTATTAGCCAACTTCCTCATATTCTCAACAATTCTTTTACAGCTTTCTTTCACCCCCAGTCTTAACTGAAACCTGGATGACACCTGTTGTCATCTGAATTTTATGTCCTCCTGAAATTCATATGTTGAAGCCCTAAACCCCAGTATGACTGTATTTGGAGATAGGGCCTCTGAGGAGGTGATAAAGGCTAATTGAGATCATAAGGATGAGGCCCTAATCTGATAGGGCTAGTGCCCTCATAAGAAGAGAAAGAGAGACTAGAGCTCTCTTTCTCTTCACCATGTGAGGACACAGCGAGAAGGTGGCCACCTGCAAGCAGGGATGAGAGTCCTTACCAGGAACTGAACCATTGGCATCTTGACCTTGGACTTCCCAGCCTCCAGTACCATAAGAAAATGAATTTTTGTTGTGTAAGCCACCCAGTCTATGATATTTTGTTATGGCAGCCTGAGCAGACTAAGACGACACCCAAGGACACCCTTTCTCCTAAGGCCCTTTCTGGCAGTTGTTGTTTATTCTCTTTTACTCCACTACATATAAGTATTTGGAATTTGATTCTGCCCTACTTTCAAGCTAATAAGTTAACTTGTTATTGTTTCATGGATGTTGGCAGAAGATATGAGATTCCTGAAACAGAGACAAAGAAGTTTATTACTCACAGCACAGCAAGTAGCAAAAGCAGCACGTCTTAGTGCCCCACCTTCCCAAGTCCCACAGGGGCAATGTGGAAGAGCCCTGTAGGTGCTGTGCATACAGTGAGTTTATGCTGCATCTGAGTAACACAAGCATTGGGGAATCCACCTCTTTCATAGAAGGCAATATGCAAGGTCTTTGTCCTAGAGAGAGATATTACTTCATTCTTCAAGGTTGCTTGCTGCACACTCAACGTTGAGAAATAGTCCAAAAAACAAACAAAATAGAATGAGCCTCATAGATACAGAGAACAAATTGATGGTTACCAGATGGGAAGGAGATTGGGGGTTTAGTGAAAAAGATGAAGGGATTAAGAAGTACAAATTGGCAGTTATAAAAATAGTCATTGGGATGCAAAGTACAGCATAGGGAATATAGTCAATAATATTGTAATAACTATGTATGGTGTCAGATGGGTTCTAGACTTATCGGGGTGATCACTTTGTAAATTATATAAATATCTAATCCGTATGTTGTACACCGGAAACTAATAGAATATTGTGTATCAACTGTAATTGAAAAATTTTCTTAAATTACGGAAAAAGAAATAGTCCAGGCAGAGTGATCAGGGCTTTATGATCTTGGCATGCCCAGTAAAAGTGAGCAGTACTGCACAGGGGCTATGGCAGCTTGCTTCTCCCAACAATTGGCTCTACATATTCTTGGCTGAACTTGAATATTCACATGGATATGACACTCCATCCGCCACTCTGATTTATCTGATCATCAGAGGCTGAGACTAAATCTGTTCAATCTGTCTCATACACAATTTAATTAAGGCCACTATGAATAGAACTTTGAACAGCAAAATGAGACCAACCTGAAGTGTTGGCTTCAACCATGTCAGTCAACCCGCACTCAGTTACCTGTGAATAAGTTTCAAGGGGATCAGTAGATCTTATTTCAGACAGCCAGGATAGAGTCTAAAGCCAGGTTATTATCCATTAAAATTCTCACAATTGAGTTTTAGACTACTCTGCTGATCTTTGCTGTCATTGCCAGTAATTATAGGAGGCAACAGATGGGCCGAAAAGCAATCCCCATCCCTAATGGAGAGACAGTTCATGGCCCACATGCAAATGTACACTCTGAAAGGTCACATACAAACACACACTTGTCACTCCAGTTCAAGATTTGGTGCTAAATCTGATTTGCGTCACCAGGACACTGGTTTGGCTAAGCCACATGGGCAGTGTTACTAAACAGTTGCAGCCTTGGTGGCCATATATGAACCAAGGCCATTCAGGTGACAGGAAAAGTATGTGCATTTGCACCAGTCAGATTGAAACAGGGTTGTGCTGAATGGTGTGTATAAACAAGTATGGGGGTGGGTAAGGTTCCATATTCAAGAGCTGCCATCGATGGCATAGGGCAGGGGTCAGCAAACTTGAGACAGAAGAGCCCCCAGGGGTCGGCAAACTGGCTTGCGAGCCACATGTGGCTCTTAGGGTTATGTACATGTGGCTCTGAAGTAAAATTGAAAATGAAGAGAAACTATCATAGTTTCATTTATAAAATTTTAAAAGGGTATTATCCACATAATGGTGATTTCATTTGTTTTATAGCTCTTGCAGAACTTTGAGGGACAGGATTGGCTCTTCCAGGGGTCGGCAGACTTTTGAGATGGAATGTACCCAAAGAGCCACATGTGCCTCGCAAGCTGCGGTTTGCCGACCCCTGGATAGGGCACAAATGAGATAGGCCACGCCCACATGAGTTCTTCTGTTTCTATAGCATAAGGACAGGATGACAAACCCAGAGTGGTCAGGTTGCCAGCTGCAGCTTGACTCAGATGAACTAGGTGATGGTTTTGTTGACCATACTGCTGGATTGAGGGGACAAAGAGAACATTAACCACCTCCCTCCTTGCACCTGCTGACATCTAAGGTATTTTCTCACCAGGCCTACACACCCACGAAAGCAGTGTATCCCATTCCAGTAGCTATAGTGTCACGTCCTGCGTGGCAAGGGCAAATGGGACACGAGAGGGGCGATGCAGATTGAATAAAGAGACAGAGACAGATGTAAGATTTAAGAGCGAGACCAAGGGACCCAGTCTTCAGATCAAGACTGAGCCCCGAATCGGGTCAACGCAAGGCTTTTATTAAGATTTTTCAAAGAAGTAAACTGCTGAATTGTGAATCATTAACTGTGTATACGTAGGTGCCTTAAGGCTTGTTCCCATTACCTAACCCCATTGTACTCCAACAAATACTATGTCTTCATACATCACTGCACAGCCACAGGACACTCTATTACATGTCCTCCCAGGGGAGACAACTGATATCATTCCATCAGGTCTCAGTTTTCCGAGACGCCCCCTGAGAGAGCTTTACAGATATCATTCCATCCGGCCTCAGTTTTCCGAGACACTCTCTTGACTACAGGGTATGAGGCTAATGCAGAGGGGGTGGTCGTGGGATTGGCTGTAAGGCAACACTATAGCTTCACCTTTTCGCCAGTCTTTTCCTAACTCATATCCTGATCTTTCATCTGGAGGGGTCAGGTATGAGTGGGACAAAATTTACAGAGACCTATTATATCTCCCACCTTGGCCTGTGTGGGCCAGCGTAGGGGGACTTGGCAAGCAGTGTGCTCATCCAAGTGCTCATCACTTTTATGACCTAGACCAGGGGTCGGCAAACTGCAGTTCGCGAATCACATGTGGCTCTTTGGGTACGTTCTGTCTCAAAAGTTTGCCGACCCCTGGAAGAGCCAATCCTGTCTCTCACAACATTTTAAAAATTATTCGAGAGCCATAAATATATTCTTACATAATCACCATTACGTGAATAATATCCTTTAAAAATTTTATAAATGAAACTATGATAGTTCTATTTTCATTTTCAATTTTACGTCAGAGCCACATGTATGTACCCAAAGAGCCGCATGTGGCTCGCGAGCCGCAGTTTGCTGACCTCTGATGACTCTTCCGTCTCAAAAGTTTGCATGAGTCAAATCCATCAGGAGAATCCAGGCAGCTAAACCAGAATTAAGTTTGAACCCTGTAGGCTCCCTTTGCCAGGCTAAAACCTGGAGGGTGTGCCAACTTGGCTGGTCTGGGGTTATTGTTGGGGGATGGGAGGATGGAAGCACAATGCCCAGAAATAGTCAAAATCCTAAATCTTCAGAATAAGTCTTTATAACCTTCTACTTCTTTTGTCCTGATAATTACCCAGGACATTGCTGAGAAGAGATAATTCTTGTTTGGGGACAGCTGCATTCAATGACCTCACTGCCTCACCAAGGTGTGTTGATCAAAAGGAAAAAAGGGAGGCAATCAGAAGCTTTTTTGGTTTATTTTTGAAGAGGCCATTCCAGTGCTCAATAATACGGGATGCCTGGGAGCATGGCATGGCCACCATATACCTTGACTATTGGCTCATTGTTGGGTGGCTTTACAACAAAGGTTACATCATTGTCAGACTGTAGATGGCCTGAAATGCCAAAAACTTGACATGGTTTAGTTACAAGGGCCAAAATGGTGTGCCAGAGTGTCCTGGTCAGACTAGGATAGCAACACTATAACTTGAAAATGTGCTCCCAGCAGTAAGGCACCAGTGACAGTCCAGAGAGGGAGTCAAAGGACTGAGGTAGCCAATCATCCAGGAGCAGGTGGGAGCAATGCTTGTGCAATGTGGCCTCTATAATGTAAGACAAACAGCTATACTCTCAGGAGGTGTCACAAGGCTGGTATGTAGCGGTGGCTTCCACATCAGAAACATACAACTCTTTATTTCGTGCCCAGTCCTTATGGTGGATGTGTTGCCATAATTGGTACAATGATCTGGGGGTGGTGGTGGTGGTGGTTATATGGTCAGTGCAGGATGGATCAGAAGCTTGATTCCAGTTGCTCTTATTAGATGGGACTTTACCACAAGCGTCTCCATGATGACCCAGGCTGTGTGATTGGCAGCTGAATTTGTTTCTACAGTTTGCAGCTCCATAGAAGGATGTCTGCCCATCTTGCAGACAAGACAGCTAGGCCCTTGACAACAGCACAAAAGGCAGTAAAAATGTACCAAGTTTCATCAGGGAAGGTGTTGGCCAGGACTATTAGCACTGTCTTGAGTTCTGCCCATGGAGCAGAACGACCACACCTGCTTTTTTGATTCTGCATAGCTGGCGCTGAAGTTGAACGCGGACACCATCAGGTGTCAGCATAGTCAAACCCTCAGACAACCAGGCAGGAACACTTAGGGGACCCTCTGTGAATTGAAGGCCCTCCTGAGCTAGTTTTTTTTTAGGTGACGAACTGAGGAATGAAGTTTTCCCAAATGGATTGCTGCCACTCTTTCTTGTAAAACCCAGACGTTAGGGCTAGGCCAGCTGTGTTGTTGAACATAGCATTTCCATCTCACTAGTAAGGCCTTTTGTACCCTTCCCTTGATAACCACTAAATCCAAGTTGATGCATCCCAAAATGGGGATGTCAGGTTGGAGGGTCACAGGACCTGTATGGGTCAGTAACAAGTTTAGGTTCCTTTTAAAAAGGGATGTACTTGGTAACTGTGTCCAGCAGGAGGCGGTGTTGTGCAGGAAACCGGCTACTGAGTGATTGCAGCCATTGAGTCTGTCTTGCCCTTTTATATCTCTTCTCTCCGAAGCCTATAGTTTCTTCTGGACCATCCCAGAGGGTTCAGGAATCACCTCTGTACACGTGGTAGTCTTTGAATGGGCGAATCCCCTCTGACACTCATGGATATTCACAGTACAAGCCTGTACAAAAACATCAATACCAGTTGTGCTTTCAGCAGTGGCAGCCCCAATGACAATACAGTATATTGAATTGGCCCACAGGACCCACCTACAAGGCCACTTTAATTTCCCTTTCCCACTGCAAACTTTGCTCAAAGTCCATCAGTTGAAATTGGGTGATTTTCTTACCTTATGGGAAAACACAAGGAGTTTAGTGTATGCAGATCAGGAGTTATGGCAATAGCTGCAGGAGATCATGCTATTCCAGAGGGGAGAGCAGGGAGAGCTGAGTGGCGGGGGAGGCTAGCCCATGGGGGAGCAGCTGGGAGGTGTTTATTTTCTCTTGGCCTCTGGCTTCGGGGTTGGCATGCCACTGTCTCCTCCCCTGTGTGCCTCCAGTGTCAATCCAGACAGCACCCGAGCCCAGGGCTACTTGCAATCCTTGGTGCCTCCCGCCACCCCTGCCTGAATCCATCCACTAGGTAAGGACTAGGTAAGATGGTGACATGGGTGCTTGGGTCCTAGAGAGCTATAAACATTTGAGGCCCTCACCTTGACAAAGTTCCCAGCACACTCCTCTTTTTCATCAAAGCAGCTGAAGGGTGGCATAGTATGAAGAGAGAGCATTGGAGAACCAGAGGGCGAGACCAGGTCTGTGATAGTAAGGCTTTGGTTCACTTTGGGTTTGAATGACCACCTGTGGGCCTCAACCCAATAAACTGGTAATGCTTTTGGTTCACCTAAAGCTCTATTGCAAACATCCTGTCTGATACCATTTACTTTAGCTTTCAGGACCCTTTGATTCAGCAGCCACTCCCATGCTGCCTTTTGGGTGGGGCTGTGGGGCTTACTGCCCCATTGTCATAGCATCCTTTCCACCTCCTGCATGGAGGAGTGAGCAGGAACAAAGCACCATTCAGGCAGTTTGTTTTCATCCTGCCTCTCACTGCTGTCCTCATTAACGGGTAGGACAGTGTGAGAGAGACCCTCCTGCTAGCCACCCTTGCCCTGACACCCACCATTTGGTTGAGAGGTTTCACTAACATACGCTAGGAGTCTTTTCATATCCCCTGACCTGGCCTATAGGGTCCTCGTCCTTCCTGTTTCAGAAAGTCATGCCGCTGTCAGCATCCCATTCTCATTGCCAATACTATCAGGGTCTGGCATTTGAATTTATTCTGCTGATAAGCCTCTTACTATTTCATTGACCCTGGCCAAGATGAAGCTCCCGGGTCAGAGACAAAGGATTTTTTTCTTCATGGCACAGCAAGCAGCATAGCATAATGTTTACATTGGCTCCCTTTCCTCCAAGTCCCACAGGGGCAACATGGAGGGCCCAGGAGATGCTGTGCATGTAGTAGGTTTGTGTTGCATCTGGGGAACATGGAGTTTGGGGAAACCACCTCTTTTACAATAGGAAATAAGCAAGCCTGCTCTTTGTCTGAGAGGGAGATATTACCTCATCCCTCAAGGTTGCTCACTCCAAATACAAGTCTGAGAAATGGCGTGGGCAAAGAGCAGCCAGGGCCTTGCATTCTTGGAACATCCAACAAGAATGTGCAGGGACACTCAGGGCTCATGGCCGATCATGTCTCCCAAGCGTTCCTACCTCATGTCCACTTCGGGCCATGCCAGTTTCTCTCTTTTTTTTTAATTGGGAAATTGGGGGAGGGGAACAGCGCTGGGGGATTGGGGAGGGGAACAGACAATTTGTTGTCGTTTTTTTTTGTTCTTCAGTCTAGTTGTGGAGGACGTCACTTCACTGGCCCATGTTGGTATCATCATTGCGCTCTTCCCGGGTGAGGCAGATCAGTCACTGCAGCCTAGCTCCAGGTTGAGCTGTTGTTCAGCATCTTAGCTGTAGAGGGCAGTGTCACTGGCCCTCATGTGGGATCCGAACAGGGGCCCTGCTGCTCAGAGCTGGAGTCCCAAGCCAGCTCTTAACCAACGCGCCACTCGGCCGGCCCCAGTCTCTCTTTTTAAAGCCCTGTGTCTCAGTCCTGATGCTCAGACTAGATGATGGCAGCATAAACAAAGAAAAGAGAAATCCAAGCTCTTTTAAGATCACAGATGCAAACGACTTAAACGAATGTTAGCTGATCAAATAGAGAAGTATACTTAAAGAATAATATATTACAACCAAGCTGGCTTTTCTAATATATAAGGATGGCTCAACATTAAAAAGCTTATAATATATATTAATAGACTCAAGGGTAAATCTCATTCATTCAATTAGCAGATACATATGAGCTAGTAGTTGGCAAAAATGACAAAATCCCAGCCTTCATTGAACTTACATTCAGTTGAGAGACACAGGCAATAAACAAATAAATATATAACATGACACTTAGTAGTGACTAATATTGAGAAAATAAAAAGCTGGGTGAGGTGATATGTATTGCAACTTGACATGGTTTGACCTAATAAATATGTGGAAATTTAGTATTTGCTAAAGGTAGAATTTCTTAACTGGAGAAAAAGATAATAAACAATACTGAGGCAATTAGCTAACCCTTGAAAAAGATAAAGTTAGGTATTTATCTTTCACCTTTTACAAAACTACATTTCAGATAAATTAATGGCTTAAACCATATAAACACACAAAACCATTACAGCATTAGAAAAACATATTGGAGAATATGCTTATCATCTTAAGGGAGAGGAGGTTTTCTGAAAGAAAGCTAGAGCTTTGAATAAAAAGGTTGACACAGGGCCAGCCGAGTAGCTCAGCTGGTTAAGAGGTCACTTGGGAGCGCCAGCTCTGAGCAGCAGGGCTGCGGTTCGGATCCCACATTGAGAGCCAGTGACGCTTGCCCTCTACAGCAAAGATGATGAACAACAGCTTGACCTGGAGCTGGGCTGCTATGAGTCGCTGGCGACAGCGTAGGCTGCAGTGGGGTTGCAGTGGGCTGCCGTGAGCTACGTGAGTGGCTGGCAGCCAGTGTGAGCAGCCGGCAGCCGGTGTGAGGGCCGGCAGCTGGTGTGAGCTGCCCGGAGCCACTGTGAGTGGCCGACCAATGACTGGCAACCGATTGCATCACCCGGGAAGAGCACAATGATCATACAACATGGGCCAGTGAAGTGATGTCCTCCACAACTAGACTGAAGAGGAAAAGGACAGCAACCTGTCTGTTCCCCTTCCCCGATTCCCCAACGCTGTTCCCCTCTCCCCAATTCCCCAATAAAATCTTAAAAAAAAAAAAGTTGACACACCTCTGTATCACATGGGATGTAAGCAGAAATGGTGTGTGTGACTTATAGGAAGTGCCATTAAAGGGCTGGAGGCCTCTGCTCATTTCCTTCCCTGTCCTTCTTTCTGGTTGGAATACATACAGGATGGCCGGAGCTGGAATAACTGTCTTGGATCTTAAATGAACTAGTGAATGGAGGCTTTGCAAGGTAGACCAACAAGATAACAGAGTCTGAGCCTCTGACACTATGGAGGACCAGTCCAGCCCTGAGCCAACTATCACTGAACTTTTATGTGAGCAGAAAATGAACCCCTCTCTTGTTAGGGCTGTGGTTATGTTGTACGTTGTCACCCACCTCAGACCAATTACATCAAAAATCAAAATCTCTGGTGTTAGGCTCCATACCTATGTAGTTTTAAAAACTCCCCAAGTGAATCTAATGTGCAGCCAGAGTGTGAAGAATTAGTTTAAGCCAATCAGGATAAACCTCTTTCCATCTTTCCCAGTGTCCCTTGCAGTAGGAGTGGTCATGGACCTACTCCGGGCCTGTAATACCTAAGTGGAAATCTGCTGAGAGTGTTTCTGAGAAAGCTTTTACATTTCTGATAAGAAGGAGCAGATATGGCTGGGGCTGCTCTTTCGCTCCCTTTCCAGTTCTGAATGCAGAAATGATATCTGGAGCTGTAGCAGCCACATGGTGTATATGAGGCACCAAAGATGAGGATCTCAGACAACATGCTAAGGCTGGCAGAGTGGAAAGTTAGACAGCATCTCAGGAGGCACCTCCAAGCATCTAAGCCAATCCCTTACGTAACTCCTTACATTCAGAAGTGAGGGGAAAAACCCTAACAATCCTTATTTATTTAATGATTTTTTGTTTATTGCAGTGGAGCATATTCATAACTGAAACATACACATGGGCACAGGTGCTTTGAGGGGCACTTTGTAACATATATGATGTGTACAAAGAATATTGTACAGGCATGTACACAGCAATATTGCTGGTAATGACCCAAGCTAGAAACCACCTAAGCATCCATCAACTTGAGAAAGGCTCAAAAAATTTAGCAAATTCACATTATAAAATACTAAGCAGCAAAATAAAACAATGAGTCTGCTCATTCTTTAAGACATGGTATCTTAGATCTCTAAGACAGTGTTGAGTGAAAAAAGTAAATTATAGGACAGTAAGGATACAAAGTATGAAACTATTTATTTTGAAGCACATACCCACACACTAAAAATAATATTGTATAGTGTGTGTGTGTGCATGCATTGCATAAAATTTTTGAAGGAGATGACTGACTGTCTCTGGGGGGTTGGAGCTGTGGTTGGAGTGGTAAGAAACTTAGGCATTATTTATAATTTATAACATTTTTTAAAGAGATGAATGTAATAATTTATGCACTGTCTAGTTAAAAATACCCAAGCAAAATTTTATATTAGAACTAGCAGAGGTTCTACTTTTGGGGGGCTCCTCCCAGTCACTGATCTCACCTTTCTCAACTTCTGACTTTCTGGTCTCTCCTGCTCACCAAGAGAAGACTCTGGCATCTGGATCTTAGCCTTTCTCCTGCCTCAGCTGATGACTCTATCTTGGGTGACTCCCATGGTGACACATCTGTGACCCATCCAATATGGTGGGTCTGAGTCCTCCTCTGCAGGCATCTCCTCAAGGTCTTTTCAGCACCCACTCCCATAGTCCCATCTGGGACTTCATTATCATTGGCATCCACAAACACTGGTGGAGACACCCTCCTCTCCTCCGCTCCTATTTGCTCAGTGGATCCCACAAGCACTGCTCTTTGAATACTTTGGGACCTTTGAGCCTTTTCTCACCTGCATACCCATCAGATTTCTTCTGACTGCCTTCACTTCCCTCCCAATTCCATTTTGCCAACACTCTCAACTCCCTTGTACCTCTCTCTAGCAAAACACTTACTTTTGGATGAACCCAAGTGTTGGCTTTCTCCATGAAACCACGTACAATTATATCATGACCACCATCCCAACAGGGTCCTTAGTATTGCTCATAAATCCCTCTCCATTTCTCTCAGTTCTAAAACTTGCACCAGCCTTACTCACTACTCCTCACTGTACCTCATCTCCTCAAACATGCCTGCTCTCCTTACTGTGTCCCAGTACACGATGTTCCTTCTCACCTCCACAGGGTGGTAGCTGCCTCATCCAGATGCTCTTTGCCAGCTGGTGCATCCATTCTCCCAACTGCTTCACATGTTGGTTGTCAATTGTTCAGTTACCCATTTCTCTGGAGGGTTGTCCATGGCCAGATGAAGCCTCCAAGAGCCAGAGATGCCTGGAAGATTAGACCATGCAGGGCTGAAGTGGGGTTATTAAGCCTTGCCTCAAATCGGGACAACACCGAGGCAGCATTCATGATCCAGAGCTCCCCAGACAAAGCTGAGGCCAAATCTTGCTGAGCTTCCTCTCCTGTCTTCTTCTTAGGAAAGGCTTTTATTTATTTATTTTTTTAATTATTTTTTTTTTTAGCTGAGCCATCCTGCCACCTGTTGGCAGCTCAGTGGCTGCTCAGCTCGGGCCAGGAATCGAACCGCTGTTGCTCAGAGCTCGCACTTTTGAGCGAGCTCTTAACCAACTGAGCCACTCAGCCAGCTCAGGAAAGGCTTTTAAATGCATAAAATAAAACAAATAGGATTATAAAGGAAACTCATTATGCTGACATATAATACTAATAAAGCGACCTTGTAACATAGTACTATGTGTGCTGCTTTATTAATGCATTAAATAACAAAATTTAGCAGTGGGTCAAATAATATCAAAGTAAAGATGAGAGTAAGTGGCATTTTAGGATATCTGCCTAAACTGAAATGTGGTATGAAATATTATTTCTATTAGTGACAAAGTCAAGGGCACTACAGGTAGCACTGTAATTTCATTCTACATTCATAATGAAAGGAAAGGCTAAATTTCCGTTAGAAATTAGTGAGAATAAAGATGTAGCTTTTGGATTTTCTCCATCCAAGTTCATGATACTGATTTTGTATTCACGGACACCTGGAGGCTCTGTGAACTCCGTTAGGACTCCTGTACTAGAGGATTTGTAGGCCTTGGAAATACATTCAATCCACCCAGCCTGACACTGAACACTTATATATGCTTCACAACAGTTAGAAATAACAAGATGGTTTAATCTCCCTCCCCTGCCCAAGAGACTGGTTAAGGAATTTCCTCATTCTCAGGCAGTATCAGTGAGAGATGCTTTCATGGGAATTCAAAGGCCAGGAGAGCTCACCAACTCACAGGGAGAACACAATAACCTTCAGACAATGATGGTGTCATCTCCTCGGCTTGAGTCAATTAGTACCCTTCACTAGTTCCGAACGGTGAGCATCCTGATGACAGCTACATACTGTCATATCATTTAGCAGATATTGTTTGAGTGTCACTTGGGCTTAGGTCTGTACAGAATTTAGGTATGAAAATAGTGTTGTAGTTACCCTCAAGAAAACTAATATTTTCTGGGATAAAAATTAAGATTATTACCAGAGAATGGATCAAGATGGCACATCTCTCTTCTTTCCCACTCTAAATTTCCTAAAGTAACAGAAAATATAGTCTTTAGAAAGAATAAATTTCTCACTTTTTCTTTATCAGACAGAATGATATTTGAAGGAGAAAAATGGTGGTGGATTGGGCCAGCCAATTGGCTCAGTTGGTTAAGAGCTTGCTCAAGGGTGCGAGCTCTGAGCAACAGGGTTGCTGGTTCGATTCCCACATGGGCCAGTGAGCTGTGCCCAAGCTGAGCTGCCAACAGGTGGCAGGATGGCTCAGCTGGTGAGAGCATATGCTCCTAACAACAAGGTTGCATATTCGAGATGATGGGCTATGCTTGTCCACAACTAAAGACTGAACTCGGCACCTTGAGCTGAGCTGCCACCTGGGTGGCTCAGTGGATGGAGCCTGTGCTCTTAACAATAAGGCTGCTGGATCGACTGCCCCACCTGCAACTAATTGAACGCAGCACCTTGAGCTGAGCTGCGTGACTGGACTTGATTGAAGGACAACTAAGATTGAAGGACAACAACTTGGCTGTTCCCCTTCCCCTCAACACTGTTCCCCTTCCCCAAGTTGCCAACACTGTTCCCCTCCCCCAATTTCCCAATAAAATCTTTAAAAAAAATGGTGGTGGATGGCAATAGCACTGTAGAAGTAGGGACTAGGGAATCTATGAAAACAAGATGGTAATACTCTCTGGTTTTGACTTACTTCATGGGCTATATGAGTGGAGATAGAGGAGTATGTTATATTAATATTACACATTAATAAGTTACATTAACTATAATATTTATAACAGCCTTATAGTTAGTTACACAGCACTCCCTATTTGTTCAAGACTCTTAGAAATTTATTATCTGATCTTTAAATCTATAAATCTCTTCATTCCACTACTGTAGAGAATACCCTGTCTAAAGGAATGCAGAGACAGAGGCACAAAGCCTGTGCTTGGTTCCCCAAGATTAGAACCACTGCATTCCCTCCCTTGGGCTGGGAGAATGCCCTGCATCTTTTTAGAGGAATGGGGTATACAAATCACAGAGAACCTAGCTAGTGGTTCTTAAATTTCAATGTGTTATCATTTGGGGGAGCCTATTAAATATGTATTTTATGGGATCCCAATCCTGAGATTAGAATTCAGCAAGCCTGGGGTGGGACTCATAAGTCTGCATTTTAAACAAGTGCCTCTGGTTCAAAACCACACTACCAGAATACTGGCTTAGGCAAATCCTCCTGTCATTTTGTTTTTAGGCATGTCACTTACAAACAGCGTGTGACTAGAATTTTAGAAACCAGTCTGAAATTCCCCTTTAGTCACACTTACATGCTGGAAGTAAGTTGTCTCTATTTATAGTCCTGCTCAGGGGAGTTCAGGCCTGGGACACACTCTTAGACAAACAAACGTCTGAGCAAAAACCACCACCACACAGGAAAAAACAATGAGGAAACTTGAATAATGCCGAATAACTGGCAAGGCTAGGATATTGAAGGAGAAACCAGACTCACATCTTCTCCCATGGACTGTGTTGTGTTAACACCTTTAGTGCCTGCCTTATGAATGATCAGCGAGTACTGGTTGAAAGAAAAACATGTAGACACAAAAACATTAAGATAGTTACCCCAGTTTGTGTCTCAGTTGTTATTAAACTTAGGTCTTCGGCGGTAAACATGAAAACTCATATTCCCTTTTAATGTTATTTTGAAGTTTCAGCATAAATGAAACATGGTGACTGAAAATAAAGCAATAAACAAAGTGGTTGTACGTCCCGTCAGCCGCCAGGGGAGTGGGTGAGTAGAAGAGGATGAAAGAGAAGGAAGGAGAGCAGTGGGCGCCGGCGTTGATTGAAGGAAAAGGAACCGTCCAGCAACCCAGAACCGACCGGAAGTCAGGGTGCGGGGCAGCTCAGGCTTGTGGCGTCATTTCCCTCGCGACTTCCTGCAGAGAACATGGCGGCTCTCAGCTGTGCCCGCTGGCTGACCCGAGTGAGGCCCGGGGGCGGGTCGGGCCGGGGGCGGGCAGGGGACCAGCGGGTTTGTACCGCGTTCACTGTAGTATTCAGGGTCTGGGGATTCCAGACCCGACCTTACAGGCTTGTGTGTCTCTGCCGCAGGCGCTGGTCGCAGCCCCGAACCCCGGGGCATGGAGGAGCGTTTGTACCTCGGCGGTGGCGCACGC